TTTTCTTCATCTTTTATCTTACTAAAACTTGTTTTGATTAATACATAAAACATTAAAACGTTTTCTTTTTAAAACTTAAAACTCTTTTTTTTTCATTAAAACATTTAGTTTGTACATAAAACAATAATACATAATTTTCTTAAACTTGAAATATTTTCCCTTTTTTTTAATTAAAAATTTTGTACATAAAAATATTAATTAAAATACGTTATCTTTAATACCTAAAAGAATAGAACTTAAAATATACTATTTTCTTTTAATTAAATTTTCTTATTTGTACATTAATACTAAAAATACTAATATATAAGAAATAGAACTTAAAACTTTCTTTTCTTTTCTTGAAATATTATGCTTTGTACATACTTTACAAAAAATATAAGAATACAATAATATATAATAAAACACTTAATTTTCTCATTAAGTTGACAATACTTCGTAATACATTAAAATTCACATTTTTCTCAACTTATAAATAACTACATACACGTACACATTTACAATACGCATTTTATCTTTTTATACATTGATACATTTGCTTGTCCCATTTTTACATTGCTATTGCTTTACATTTGAGATGGCGATTGGTTCGATTTGGTTGTAATTATTTAAAGTCTCATCCCCATTTGCAAATTTGTACCCCCACTCCCGGATGCTATTTTGTAATAGCGTAGACTTTAAATTCCCGGATGCTATTTTGTAATAGCGTAGACTTTAAATTCCCGCAATTTATCGCTTTTGAATTATACCATGTTTAGACCTAGGGTTTGCATGTACATAAAATCGAACGCTAGATAACCTAATACAAGACAAATACATGAAATCAATACACAATCACACTTGCACCCCTAGGATAATCCCACTCGTTGCCTTCCAAAATGGGCCATGCTTGCACGTCGAGTTTCTTTGGCAAAACAATTCAAATGATCATAAGTCTCTCGATGACGCTTTCGAAAGTTGCCTATCAAAATAATCATAGTCCCTTCAAGCAAAATTGCCAAAGACACTTGGCATCATTGCATTCATGGTCCATACGATGACCCGCGCATGTCCCGTTAAACATCCTAAATGCAAGATTGTCCACCAAATACAATGGTGGAACAAAATTGTTAAAAAGGGTTAAAACATAAGAAAAACCTTTGAGTAAATTTAGGGGTAGACAAAACTCTTAGTTACTTGGATCAACTTGCAAAAACACTTGTCTATTTTTCAAAACCACACTTAGGGATGTCAATGGGGCGGGGCGGGGCCGGGGGGACACTTCCCCATCTTTTTCCCCGCCATCAAATTCATTCCCCGTCCCCGTCCCCGATCTCCGTCACGGGGGAATTTCTATCCCCATCCCCGTTCCCCGCGGATCCCCGTTCCCCGCGGGGATCCCCATAGATCCTACATTTATTCATTAATATTTTATTTTTTTAAAATGTTTATATTTTCTATAAAAATAAAAAGCACAAAGAATTCACATATTTATTATGTTATTAAAAAATACTAGTATTTGACATTTATTATTTTTTATTAAAAATACTAATAGAACACAAAATAATAATATTTTTTTTATAAATTTCTATAAAATGCTATAAAATTCAACAAAATAAACTATAATACTTTTTAAAGTAACAATATGCCTAAACAACTAAAAAAATCCAACAACATAATTATGCTTAAAAAACTATACTTCATCAAAACTAATAAGGGATAATTATAAAATTTAGCATCATGAGTATGCTTGAAAAGCTAAAAAATACTTCATAATAAGTCAACTAAAAACAAAAGTCAAGATATCTCTATTTGCTCAATTGATAACACACGTAAAGTAGAAATATCAAAATACTTAAAACAAAGTTACATATAAATAAACTAAAATATTAAGCAAAATATCCAAACAAGTAATGATCAATCATGTCTCTCTTTCCAACTTCTCCTTGCAAGGTCTTCTTCCTCATTCCACAATTAGCTATATTAAAATAATAGGCGGGGCGGGGGGTGTATTCCCCGTCCCCGTCCCCGAAATGCTCTCGGGGGAATTTTTCTCTCCATCCCCGCCCCCACGGGGGAAAATTCCCCATCTTTGGGGCCCCGAACGGGGCGTTCCCCGCGGGGATCCCCATTAACAGGTCCAAACTGACATCCCTAACCACACTTCACAAAACTTCCAAAACAAAACTTTCAAAAAACACATTGAAATATCTTTTCGAAAAGATACACACCTTCGTATATACTCAAACACGAGTCATTACAACGGTTGCCGAAACAAAGGCGTCTATTTCAAAAACATTTTCAAAACACAAATACACACACCATTTTCAAGCAATCAAAAATCCAGGCAAGTGATCTAAAACCAAGTAACTAAGAGCCCATGGATAACCATGGATGAAAAGGGTGCTAATACCTTCCCTTTTCATAATCTACCCCCCGAACCCACGAAACATCTCAAAAGGTTTTTCCTGTGCTTTTTTAACCTTTCCTTTAGGATAAAATAAAAAGTCGGTGGCGACTCTTGCTAAACCGAACAAGTGCGAAAATAAACGCAAAACCTCAAGTCAGTTCTCCCACCGTATCACACAAGGTGTCCGTTTTTGTCTGCGGTGCCGTTGTTAGTGTCGAGGACGCGGACGTTCTGTTCATCGCGAGCTTGATCAGCCATGACAGCGGTAGTTGAATTTGAGCTTTGGTCTTTGAGTTTTGCAAGACGGGGAAGCTAATTTCTCACAGACGGCGTCACTGATCTAACCTGATCAGACTTGGACCGTCACGGCTGACTCCGAGCTGAAGTTTTGAACGAGGTGGAGGGTACCTGCAAGGCACTCTGATGCTGAAGTAAGTAAGAGCACGAGCAGGCAAGAGTATTAGTATGGGTAAAAGAATGAATACTTGACCCTCTGGAAACATAGGGTATTTATAGCCCCCAGCGCTGGGCCAAGGTTCCTTCATTGGGTCGGGCAGGTTTGGCCCAATGGAGGAACTGCCAGGTTCTACGTGCGTAGTGGGGACCCACACGTGGTCCCCTTCCTGGATGTTCTGCGTGAAGTACGGACGGACGAGGACGCGGTCTTTTCGGGATCCAGGTGATGGCGTAGTGGATAGAGTCTGCCTAGGAGGAGTGCTCGAGCTGAGGTCGAGCAGGATAGCATGGAGTCGAGGACGTCGCGCTAGTAGGAAATGCGGGGCAAGGATATGACCTTTTGGTCGGCGTGACCCTTTGCAAGACCGTTTGGATTGGGCCTTCACCGTTGCTTTTGGGCCAGCCCGACCCAGTCCAGAACAGACAGTATAAAATTTTTTTACACTATCAGTACATCATCCATTTTCTCATAAAAATTAAATATCAATAATAATATATTAATAAAAATAAATACACCTTCGATATTGAAATTCAATTCGTTGAACCGGTTTCACAAAATAACATATAAATACATTAAATAATATTCACATTAAATAATATTCAGTTTTTTGTGATTATTATTTATTTTGAATGAATTTATAATTTTTATTTAGATCTATTTAAATTTGAATACTCCTAAACATAAAAAAAAAATTTAAATAAATAAATAAACTTAATTGAGTAGCTATCAATCTCCAATTGGTCTGTTGGTAAACACACCGGGAACCTGAGAAAGTGTTTCTCTTGAAGTCTCATATTTGAGTCTTGTTAGATGTTAACCATATCTGATATTAAATGGGATAATTCCTTTGAATTAGTTGAGCACAAATTTAGATACCAAGTTTTCAAAAATAAATAAATAAATAAATTGGTGGCTGTCAAATATAAATTTGATTATGCAACTTCAATCTGAACCAGATAATATTATCAAGAGGAGTTAAAACTTAACAAATGAAAAACGTAGAGGTAGATTAAGTCAAAATAGGAGTGACAAATACAATTAAGTTGATCGGTGTAATTTGAAAGTACATAGTCCAATTTTTTGAGTACATTGGAGAATAGGCAAAGGAACAAAAACTGGAGAAAATCTTATCCACTACAAATAATACCAAATCTCATAGAATGCATGACATGTCGTATAACATGTTGTATAGTACTCATATACAAAACCCCTGAACCTAATTCATACATTAATGTCCAAAACAATCACAATCGTGGCAAGGCAAGACGTCAAAGGAGACTGTAAATCATATTCACTCAACAACTATTAACTCAAATAATTCATCATTAATGGAACAGACCAAATAATCAGACGGACCACATTTGTCTGGTTGCTTTTTTTGGATCTTTGTTACTCACTACTACCTGTCTCTGTTTGGAAACATAGGCATCAAAGACCAGAAGCCTACTTTACCAACAGCCTAGCTACTGATACACAAGCTTACAACCTAGACCTACATATGACAATAACCCGTGACAATCAAACTTGGCTTAGTGATTCGATTAGACATTTCTAAATAAAAGAGGTGTTTAACCTATTCAATTCCAAAGAATAGTCTGGTTGGTATAAAATGACCCATAACCAATACAATGATTTGTTAATATTAAACAAATCAACTATATTTTTACTTTTTATTTTCAAAAATGATTTTTGTGAAAATAAAAAATGATTGAACTAGACTTGTAAAAATAGAGAGATGTTTATATCTTTATGTAAAAAATAAATAAATAAATAAATACCAATGATTTAAGCTTCCGCCAAGTGCAAGATCCAGTAATCCAAATTTGTATATGAATATGAATTCCTCCATGTACACAGCTGTTTAAACTCACTCGCCCTGCAATGTCAGGGTTGCTACTATACATGAATTTAATGGATTATTGCTTATATTTATTATATTATACATATAAAATATAAAGTATCCCCTGGCTGATTGGCTTGACTTGAATTTCTGTGAATGTAATCCCACCCCCACCTTCTTTTCTTTTGTCTGCCTCTTTTTTTGATACAAAAAAGTTGATGTATTTGCTAAATCTGGGTAGAGAACTACCACAACATATCTGTGGTAGAAAACCAAGTGTACGTCTAAAATTCCGTTATTTTTTCAGACACATAATGTCACGTGCGACTCAACAGATCATTTGATGGTTCTAAACATTCCTCCGGGTTGGAATAGAAATAATCCTCTTCTTTGGGCTTATCATGGATTACCAACCTTTTACTAGGGTTACCCATGCGATGGGCATGAGATTCCTTCACGGCTGAAGAAAATCGGTCCCAGTTCAGTATTCCATTGTTGTACTGATCGATTAAATCAACTAAGAGCTTTCGGTTCAATAAAATTGTCTTCTTGAACCCAAGATATCTGTATAAGCAATGGAGGGAAAATGTCAAGTCACTTGGGAAACACCAAATGAAAACAGTAGGATCTTTATTCTCTATACAAAAACTGCATTTTGGTGACTCAGAAGATGTGATCATGTGGATACAATTATAGTTTCAGTAAGAAAAGGTTTTTTAGTTTTTCAACAGAACACTGTGAAGGCATGAATATTCCAAAAAAAATATAAAAAACAAGTTAGCTAAGATACTGGTTCTCTGGTCGAACCCAATTTTTAAATTTTGTTTATCTTAAGGGGTTTAATGGAAAGCAGCTTAAGCACACGAATCATATGTTACTAGCTGAAATATACCTGCGATGGCCCGCAACTACTTTGGCCATATTTCCATCATATGTGGGAACAAAAATATCACTCTCTAACGAGACAAGATAATCCAATGCTGCCATCTGAGATGAATGATTTTGGAAGAAACGGAGGTCGGATGGCTCCAACAGTGTTTCCTTCCTGACCTGTTTAAACAACAAAGTGCGAGAAGCCAACAGTAAGGACATAAATCAATAACATACAACAATTACCATGCTGCCTATAGTTTAGCAATGAAGAATACCAATTTTGGGTACTCCTTTGAAAGACTTGTCGTTCTCCTTTCTCCACCATATATTTCACCGGCTGCAATGTAGATTTGAATGTTCCGATCAATGTCAAGAGCCCTTAGTGTAAGGGCAGTCTCCTCAGGTGTTAGAGGGCATAAACCATCTCTTCTTTTCAAATCAGAATTAATTATTTTCTCTTTCCACCAAGGATAGGCATATCTGTCAATGCACAGAAAATTGAAATTTGAGGGAAATTTATATCAAGTTGTCTCTTTTTGATGTCCACGGTGATTGAAAAAATAAATTAAACTTTTGGAACAGGTGAATTATGCAGGTTAATTATCACCTCATTCTTGTCAACTCTTCCACCTCATCATTGTTACAGCCTTGAGTACAGCCAGAAAATGCTAGCATGTCCATCTCATACCTCAGATGAAGAACCAGAAATGGACCATTTTTTCTTAGAAGACTGATCACCTTTCTCCCCAACTCCTCTATCTGAGGAGTAAATTTAAGAGCACTAAAATTAACTCTGCAACGCAGCTTCTGAATCTCAAGAGGTTGACCGTTATTGGCCAGCCGAGCATCCGTTCTATTTAAATGGACAACTTTGTACTTTTGTATCAAGGGTAGAATCTACAAAAAAAATGAAAAATGTCATTTGCTTTAAATTAGCAGAGAGAACGACAACAACGTAATCATGGCTCATTGTGTGAAAGATATAATCGCAAGCTAGCTGATTGTCCTTTAGGATAAAGCACTAGCTCCTGAAATAATTGACCCATGGATACTAAAAACTGACCTGGTTCTTATAGTAAGATATGTCAGACCAACTAATGGGTGGCATACTATAAAGGAAACCGTGTTCCACTTTCAGCTTGAGTCTAGTAGGCAACTCCTTCAATATCCGAACCTCATCTCTCAAGGATGTGATAAAATGATCCACGTCAAATATGTCCTGGAACTCACTGCAACATAAAAACAATAAATAGTCAATGAGCTGTGATGAAGGGCAGAAATCCTCTAGCCAAAGCAGCATTAATATGGTTGTCATCACCAAAACATATGGCAATAGAATCAGAGACTCACCTAGGATCAGCCCAAAAGGATGTTTTATCAAGCTCGGGAACTATAAGTGTGACATTTAAATGTCTAGCAATGGCAACCATATCACAAATCTGCAGTTAAATTAAATAATCAGAAAAGAAAACCGAAATAATACAGGATAACTAAGCTGCACCATGGCCAGAACAAGAACAAAAGCACAAACTAAAAAGCATATGATTCAGGTATTTACTCCCTCAATTTGTAAGGCCATATATTTTAGTATATGGGTTTGCCAGATATTTTAGTATATGGGATTAACGAAATTCTAACACGGTCACTCAATTGAAAAAGCTCGATCACATTAGCCACATTGAGATAATTTCAAGGAACTAAATTGACTGGCCTAGTCCCATAAGTACAGCTCGGATAGTAACAGGCTGTAGAGACATTTGACATGCAGGGCTGCAGGTTCGAACCCGCAACTCCACATTTCGCAGCACCACTTAGTATCTATGTAAGTTTAGAACCAAAAAAAAAGTGACAGGCGTAAAAATGCCATCAGGATTCGAGATGATTCCAAATGTGTTAATTTCAGATCAAATTGTTAAGTCCCAAAAATTTAAGGACTAATTAATTCATAATTCAGTCACTAATAAAAAGCACATTGTGTAAACAACTCACCGCTGCTCTCATTTGGTTCAGTCCTCCATTGCATGAAACCATCAAGTATCCATTATTTTTATAAACTCCTGATCACAAAAATGTTTAAAAATTAATAATTAAACGAGATAATTAACAGCAAACACGCACCAGAAACACAAAATAAATAAAATAAATGATGATAAAATTATCAATAAATATCAATAAGTACATTAAACACTTTGAAATCATTATCATAAATAAACAACAAAACAAATTAGCAACCCGTTAATGACTCAATTAGGAATGTCAAAAAACTAACTCTTTGGAGGTAGAAGTGGTGGACGTGAAGAAGGAAACTGAATATCCATAGCTCTGGAATTCGAAGCAGATTCATGGGTGAAACACGAAGGCCAACCTTTAAGAACTCTAGGACCCCATAAATCACCTATAGCTGTTAATTGAACTATGCAAGTCCACAATATCACCGATGAAGTTGCACGAATCATCCATAGTTTCACTCTACCCCTTCCTGAACCCGAACCCGAACCCGAACCAGAACCAGAACCAACTCTCTCCTTATGAACCTTCAAATTCAAACCCATCCAACCCAAATCTTGCCACTTGTTGCTATTGCTCTCTGGCTTACACATCTTATTCTTACTCCAATTTCTTCATACAGATTAAACAATAAACCCTAATTCCAGATTCAATCGATAAAATCAATAAACCCTTATTCTCCTCCACCGGAAATTCCAAGATCCGAGACTCCCAAAACGACGCCGGGTCAAACCTATCACACTATTCTCCACCAATGCAGACACAGAACACACAGTGAAATTGAGTTCAAGAAGAAACAAAACCGTTTGTTTTCTTACCACAACGAATTTCAGAACTGAAACCGCAACAACAACGAAAATAACTGCACTTTTTTTTAATTCGGTAGGAAAATGTATCGAAATTGAGGAAAACTATGAGAATTGAGATATTTGATTACTCCGGTGAGGAATGATCGGCGGAGCGCGGTGGCCGGTGAGTGAAGAAACGGTGGAAGAAGAATTGTAATTATAGGTTGTGAGAATAAAATGCGAACAAAGAGAGAGACATTCGGAGTTGACACATGCTAGTGCTACTACACCTACACCTACACCGGTGTTAATTTAACTCTGGTTAAGTTAACCTAACCATGGTTAACTTTAGAATGGACTTTGGGATCACTTCCCCTTAACTTGTCCTAAAGTATATTTTTTGGATGATGGTCCTAATGTCCTATATAGGATGGATAAACCAGCTGTATAGTACAATACACTTTATGATAGGTAAATAATTAAAGATATTTTTATTTAAAAAATTGTGATTTATTTATCTTATTATATTATATTATTAAATTATTTTTTATTTGATAAAAATAAATGTATTAATAAAAATATATAAAACAATTTTAATATATTTCAAAATTTTAAAATAGCATCAAAATATATTAAGTTTATATATAAATTTTATAATAAAATTTAACAAAATACGTTAAATTAGAATTCAGTTAAATTAATTTAAAATAATTTTACTGTTTAATATTTTATCATAAAAATATAATAAATTTTTGAATTTTCTTTATTTTAGTTGATTTTATTAAGGGTGGCAAACGAGAATGTCCGCCATGTAAAAGTCTGTAAAAAAATAGGATAGGGCGGGACGGCATAGTTGAGGACGAGAGTCTAAAATTTAGGCACGTCCGCAAAAAAGTGAGTGCGGGATGGGAAAAGTTCGCGGGTACTACACCTTTTAGGCCTAAAGATGCAAAATTTTATGTTAATAATCATTTCCGCTAAAGCTCGCGAAGAAAACGGAGCGGGACGGGGCGGTCACATTATAGGGTGAGGGCCTAAATTTTTGGCCCGCTCCGCACTAAAGTGCGGGTAAAACGGGCATGTCCAACGGGTCGGGCCCGTTTTGCCACCTCTAGATCTCATTAACCATGGTCTTGGTCTTGGGTTTTGAGGAAAAGGAAGACGAGAAATATAGGTTCCCACAGACAGCGCCATTAATCTTATCGGTTGATCAGATCTGAGGTGGGTCGAAGAGATGACGTCTGTTTGACTGGAAATTTATGGAGAGAATGGGGATGTACCTGCAAGGCACTTCGACGATCAAGTAAGAATGGGTGCAAAAAGATACAAGAAAGATATTAGGGTTTTAGAATGAATATTGGATATCTGGTTTTCACAAGTGTGAGAGTTTATATAATGCCCTCGCACATAGCCATTGGTTTCTATTTTTGGGCTTAGATATTATATTCCCCAAAAATAGGTAATTGATATGACCTGGTCAAAATGGGCAATCATGTCCGTAACTAACCGTTGCTTCGAGCAAGTATGAGGTGCCAGACAGACGTGTTGTGAGCGCTTTCCTGATTGTATGCTCGACGTATGGTGAGCAGACCTGAAGACGGATGATGATGCGGGTAGACGGGTGGTCAGGACACTGTCACCCTTGGTATTCTAGTGGTGTGGTCGACCGAGCGTGCTCGACCGAGGATCGGAGTTAGTGGGCCAAAGTTGTTTAGGCCATGCTGAAGGTGGAAGCAGATTGGGCCAATTCTAGTCATTGGGTCAGTCCAGAATAATATTTTTTATATTCTTGAAGCGGATGCGTTGGCTCTCAAATAGACTATCCAACACAAAACCAATATGCAACTTGGTAATGTTGTTTTTTAAAGTGATTCTCAAGGGGTGATCCAAGCCATTAATTCTAACATCATAGATAGCTCAAAATTTTATATTATTATTAATACTATTCAAATTTTATTGTTTTCATTCATAAACTTTGAGGTAAAGTTTGTTAAACGTCAAGCAAACATGATGGCTCACTCTTTAGCAAAAGCGGTCATGTTCTGATCTAGGCGTAGTGTTTTACATGTATCTCCTCCTTATATTGCTCAACTTTTAATTAATAAAATGCATTGAATTTAATTGTGTCAAAAAAATTATTTATGTAATAATTTTACGCCTCCACTCAATCAAATCATATAAAATACGTCAAACAAATATTTATTGACATATTTTTAAAACCAATTGAAAAAAATTAAGTTTACATATTTATTTGATTTACCGGTGTGTTTGAATTGACCATAAATAGAATTGATTTAAGTACAATTGACTAATAAATTTCAATATAAAAATCACTTAAAGTCAATCTTAAATAACCGAAACTATAAACTCTAACTTCTACTAAGTAGAATTAATTCTAAAAATAAAAACAATTCTAATTTAACATAATCAAATACTAGTATGATAAAATCATTACAAAATTAATTCTACATTCTAAAATACTTTTACTCCTCTTATTAAAATTGAAACCAAATACATATACTTAATGCACGCGTTAAAAAATGAAGACGGTCAATACATAAACATTAATATTTAATATAAATTATTTATTATTAAAATTATATTGTTGTTAGTTTTATTAGGTAAATTTTTTAAGTATTATAGAAAAATAGGATTTATAAGAATATGCGAAAGGAAAATTCTTTGTAGTTTTCTTTTACTGTTTATTATTTATTAAAATATTTCAAAAAAATTAAAGGTTATTATAAAATAAAAAACTGTTATCTCATATTCACACAATTAATAATTTATAGATTTATAATTTTTTTTCACTTTGAAAATAAAAACTAAATTAAAAATTAATATTTTATTATTTCACATGAATCTACTTTAAAAAGTTGAAGGTGACCGTCTAAATATTAGTAATATACAACGAGAAAATATATTTTTATATTTTATTTCTATTTCAGTTTTATCTTTAAAAATTTATTGAACAATACCACAACCTTATCTTTTTTTTCATTTTTCTTTTAACTTACGAAACAATTTCTCTATATAATAACCTCATTTTTCTATTTTTTTATTTTAAAATGAGAAAAAAAGAAAATATATTAATTATATAAAAATATTTTTATACTATCAATAAATAAAAAATACGTATTATAATAAAATTAATTTTTATATTTAAAATGTTGATAACAAATATAGAAATTCTAATTTATATAATTATCTTTAAACTCTTTTAAGATTTGTAAATATTTTTTTATCTATAACAATACTTTTATAATAGAGAAAAGAATTTAACAATATACATGATATCTTAGAGAAAGTTAAACAACAATTTTTTGTTTAAATTTTTACATGTGTGAATATTAAAAAAACAAATAATTCTGAACACTAGTAAGATATACTTATAATATTTTATTTTACTTGCTCACTAATTATCATTTACTTTAAAATTTATCAATTTTGGTTGTTACTTTAGATTTTTTAACTAAAAATAATAATGATAATATTTATATTATTTTAATATAAATGATAATTAATGATATTAATTCATGTTAATATTTTATCTCTTTCAAAAAATTAATTATATTATTTTAAAATTAATGTGTCCATTTTTAAATATGTGATATTTGTGAAATGTAACATAATGCAAAAACAACAATAATTAAACTTTATCCTATTAAATGGAGTCGGTTACATAAATTAATTTTTGTTATAATGTTTCATTAAAAATTATGTTTCTATTTAAATATTAATCTTGAGATCTTTTTAATAATTTCTCTTATATTTTTTTTAAGTCTTCTTTTTCTTCTAGTTGTTTGACTTCTTTCTATATGGTCTACTCTCTTTACCGTAGAATTTATGAGTCTTCTCTATATGTCTAACCCACCTAAGTCTATTTTTCACCATCTTCTCTACTATAGGCGCTATTCCAAGACTCTTTCTAATATTTTAATTTCTGATTTTATCTTGTCAAGTCTTACCACACATCCACCACAACATCATCATCTCTGCTACACTTACTTTATTCTCGTATTAATTCTTAACCGCCCAATATTTTATCCCATACAACATCGCAAGTTTTACTGCCGTCTGATAAAATTTTCTTTTCAGCTTCAATGGTACCCTCGTGCCACATAATACACTTGAAGCCCTTCTCTATTTCATCCAACGAGCTTGAATTCGATGACTTATATCCCCTTCTATTTCTCCATGATTTTGTATTAAGGATCCAAGATATTTAAATCGCGTGACTCGAGGGATGATATGGTCTTCAACTTTCACTTATATGTTAGAAATGCTTCTTCCTTTGTTGAACTTACATTCTGTATACTTCATCTTACTTCTACTTAAGCGAGAATCATGTATTTCTAAAGATCGTCTCCAACCTCTCATTTAAATCTTCCTTCGACTCTTCAAGAAGGACTATATCATCTGTAAAAAGCATGCATCTCAATGATAGCTTTTAGATGTGTTTCGTGAGTATATCCAAAATTAAGGTAAAAAGCAGGGGCTTAGGTTAAACCTTTATGCAAACATGTTATAATCGTGAAATCGTCTGTCTCTCCACCTTATATTTGCATGCTAGTTGATGTCCCTTCATACATATCTTAGATAATTCAAATATGTGAAATCATAGCATCTTTCTTCTTTAAAGCTTTTCACAAAAATCTCTCTAGACACTCTATCATACGCCTTCTCCAAAAGAACTACCAAATGAATAATTTGTATAAATCATATAATTCATTAAATAAATTATAGAAATAATTCTTCCACACATCCTTTATATCTTTTTCTTGCACCAAGACATTATCTTCTTT